GACTCCATCTGAAGCCCTAGAGACTGCTAAACAAAGGCTCACAGCACTGGCTAAGGAGATATACAAGAGAAGCAAAGGCCAAGAAGATAAATGCCCTGTTCTCCAAAGAATCATCCAAGGTGTACTCCCAACTGCAGTGCAACAGTAACAGCAGAGCCACCAACAGCAGTAACTGAACAATACTGGAAGAACATGGGAGAAAGAGAAGACACATAACACCAGTGCAAAGTGGCTGCTGTACCTGAGAGCAGACCACAGCAATCTCCCAAAACAGGAGTCAGTCACCATGACAATAGCAGACATCCAACAATGGGTCAAGAACATGAAGAGCTGGACAGTACCTGGCACGGACATGATCCACAAGTACTGGCTAAAGAAACTAACAGCAGTGCATGAACCCCTAGCAGCACAGATGAACCAGCTCCCAGACTGGCTAATACAAGGAAGGACGGTGCTGATCATGAAAGACCCCCACAAGGGAACATGTCAGGCCTAGCCCAAGGAACTCCAGGAGACCATGCAGCTCAGTTCAGCAATGTTTATTAGCATTGCAAGCATTAGCTAGCAACCTCTAGCAAGAATCTTCCCAGACTGAAACCTGAGTTCCCAAAGTCAGCCAGTCAAAAGAGAGTGAATTTCTCAGGGAGGTGTCAGCCTCATCCTCTTACCTCTTCCTTGCCCCTCAGGAGACGAAAGAGCATGTTTCCCTCCCTGAGTGTGGCCTTCATAATTCCATTCCATCATAGAACAGCCCCATCCAACTACTAGCCAATAACCTGCCTCCCCGCAACATGGAAAGTCCTATCAGGCATCATAGCCACCAAGCTGCCTCAGAGACAGTCCAACACATAGTGGCAGGGAGTATGACGCAGGCAGGAACAGCATACACTGAATGGCGCAACCAAATAGCTTGCATTGTGTACAGAAACATCTGTGCAGTGTATGGACTAGACTCTCTCAAGTCCAGATGGGAGATTCCACAGAAGGTTGTGGAGAATAACAGGGCTAAGATCCTGTGGGACTTCCAGATCCCAACAGACAGGCAGGTACTGGCCAATCAACCAGACATCGTTGGTAGTAGACAAGGACCAGAAGACAGCAGTGCCAAGTGACAGCAACATCAAGAAGAAGGAGTATGAGAAGCTAGAGAAGTCTCAGGGTCTGAAGGAGGAACTAGAGAGGACATGGAAAGTAAAGGCCAAAGTAGTCCCAGTGATGGTGGGTGTGGGAGCAGAGTGATGTTGGAGATCAAGGCTATCAGGAAGGAGGGGGTGCATTCCAGGAGGGAAGAGGAGGCAAGAGGCAGCACAGTCCACAGGGGGAGCGTGAGAAGACTAAGAGATTCAGGATAGCCACTCCCTAGAATCTCACAGGGTATATCCACTAGTTGCTGTAGTATAGATTTAGTTTGGCAAGATTTTGTCGATAAGGTATAAGCAAATAAAGGAACTGTACTCAACTGGACTGTTGTCAACTTTAATTAAAACTTTCTTCTCTCTTTCTTTGTTGTCAACTTTAATTAAAACTTTCTTCTCTCTTTCTTTTATAAGCAAATAAAGGAACTGTACTCAACTGGACTGTTTCATCATTGTTCTTGGGCTGGGCCTGACAGTAGAGCACTCGGGGCTGTGACTCCTAAGCTGAGAGAGTGGTTCCAACAGATCCCAGGCACAACATCAGAGCTCTCTGTCCAGAAGAGTACAGTACTAGGAACAGCTAAAATACTGTGCAGAACCCTTAAACTCCCAGGCCTCTGATAGAGGATCTGAGATTGAGGAAGACACATACCACTCATAGAGATGAGAGGGAGGGACGGACGGACAGACAGACAGACATAATTTTGATATATCCTCAAATTTTTGTATCTGCTTTTCATGACTGGTTTAAGGTCCCTCTATTTATTTCAGTGACAAGAATTATTTTCCACATTCCAGATATCTATAATGACTCAAATTATTTAGTTGTCAACTTTAATTAAAACTTTCTTCTCTCTTTCTTTCCTTCTACTCCAACCCACACATTCTTAAAAGTAGTTCTTTAACATTGGGAAGGGAATATTAATGACTCACCCTCAGTTATGACATATTTGATGCTTTTTTTCCCCCTAGGGATTGCTAAGAGCTATTCATCATGAAGGCATACAGGTACTTTCTCTCACAGAATTTCCTTATAATGAAGGTGAAATTGTTCCTACTAAACAAGAACCTTGGCTAGAAGAACGTAAGGCTTTCTTAAGCAGTATTTCGTCTTTGAAGGAGTTAATTGCCAAAATGCAGATTCAAAGACAAACAAAGGTAATTATGACCACAAAACTGTTAAATTTCAGTCACTACATGTCCTGGGTACATACATAAATTATGAAATATTCTATTTATATTCTCTAGTTATAGAAATACAGTATATAGAAATATGTTTTAAAATTATTCTTGAAACACTTGAAAGTGGCTCTTTTATTTAACCAGAATCTGTTGAAACAAATTTTGGTCTGATTCTTCAAAAACTTGTTAACAGTTTGATCTTTCACATGTCTGGGTAAATGTGTATTGTATTATCGTCTTAGTTATGTATATAGTAATCTTCAGTACAGAGCTTCTTAGAGAAAAAATAAAGCTTGCTTACATTCTGTAGGGCTTCTGACTTTTTTGTTTCTGCTTTAATGCTAATGTGCATTTTCACTACTGTTTTGTAATCATCTTTCAAAAGTGATTTTGAAGAGGGTAAAGCAGTTCTCCCCAATCTACAAATATATTGGGTCTCTGATTTCAGAATTCCAGACAGTAATACATCTGGAATGGGAAATTTTCCATGATGGGGAAAGCTGTTTTAGAGGAAAAAAAGTTCATATAAAACAAGAACTGCCAAATTTGCCAAATCATACTAAATGCATGATAAGATACAGTCATAAATCTGTTCTTAAGACTACTGGAAGTTGTTATAATGTTCATTAAATTAGAAAGTGAGTGAGAGAGCTAAGAACTTTCAATAATACATAAATATATTATAACATAAAACATAAAGTCAGAACAATTGATTCTTTTGAAAACTTTAATATATTTATACCACTTCTTAATTGCTTTCATGTTGCTCTAGTTTTATGCAGACTCTGAATCTTCTGACACTATCTCAGATTGGCGAGCTGAGTTGCTGTGTGCTGTTCAACAAATCTTCCAAAAAGAAAAGGATATTCTTCTAGCAGCATTTCAAACTGAATTGGCAGAAGTAGGCGTTCAAGATGCTGTGGGACTAATAGATCAGCTGGAAAGGAGGCTTCAAGAACAGGTGAATTATATCCTACCAAAAATAGGGATTTTTTCTTGGTAATTACTGAAAAAGGTTGTCTTTATATCAGCAGTTAAAAAGCTACTTTGCTCATGATGCTTTACGTCTTATCGTGCTCCTATCTGTCACTCTCATATCCAAAAATGTTTCATCAGAATGATTTACATATACTGTTGCAAATGAAAATGGCTTCTCTGTTGCCAAGATTTTCAAAGACAAAACATTACACAGTTTAGGCCAGGGATTGGCAAGCTTCTTCTATGTAGGGCCCAGAGGCCACGCCACTGCCACCATTTACAGGGGACTTGTGACTCCATCTGCACCAAGGCATTTGGTGAAGACTTCACCAAAATGGCCACCCAAGGAGGCGGTGAGCACTCTCTCCCTTTCTCTTGCAGGCCAGGGAAATATATTTCTTTTTGAGACCACAAGCCAGCTTATTTTGTGTGGTGGGCCACATCCGGCCTGCAGGCCATAGGATGCCAATTCCTGGTTTAGGTCCATGTTACTTACAAGGTTGCCTGCTGCCCTACAGTCTGTCGTGGGCTCTTAGATTATTAGTAAGTACTTTTTGCAGGATGTGCTAAAGGTGCCTCATAACAGCACATCTATTTTTTCTATGACAGGGCCTATACAGGTAGTCCTTGCTTAACGACCCTTATTGGGATTGGTAACTAAGTGAAATAGTCGCTAAGTGGGAAATCACAAGATCATGACTGTGCTTTCCAGCTGCAAAGAGACAAGACTACTCAGTTTCACACCTCCAGCTTGTGTTTGCCTCCTAACCACTCCCCCATCCTTTGGGATGCTCAAGTGCCTGCTTACTGGCTTGTACATGTCAAAAGCAATGCAATGACACCAGTAGCCTGGGGCTGGGAGGTGCAGGCACACTACGCAAACCACTTACAGTATTCTCATGAAATCTCTTCCTCTCCAATCTCTCAGTTTTTTGGGGGCGGGGGGAAGCAAGTGATTTCTGTAGGCAGTCTCTCCTTTGCCTGACCCTTTCCCACTGCCGGTGCAATCACATTGCTTTCAATATGTAGAAGAGCAAACAGCTTACTCTCTTGAAATCCCTTCCTCTCCAATCTCTCTGCTATGTGGGGGTTGGAGGGGCGGGAGGGTCAGGCAACAGAGAGATTGCCTACAGAAATCGCTTGTCTTTTTTCTCTCCCCCCTCCCCAAGCAGAGAGATTGGAGGGGAAGAGATTTCAAGTGAGTAAGCTGTTTGCATAGCATGCCTGTGACTCCCAGTCCTGGCTGCCAGCAGGATCACATTGCTTTTGATGCGTAGAAGAGCAAACAGCTTACTCATTAGAAATCTATGCCCCTCCAATCTCTCTGCTTGGGGAGGGGGGAGAGAAAAAAGACAAGCGATTTCTGTAGGCAATCTCTCTGTTGCCTGACCCTCCCGCC